AATAGCCTATCTATTCCTAATTCTTGATATTCAGCGTCCCAAAACCCATTCGCATGTCGACTCCTGCATATAATTGGGTCCGACTCCGAACCGCTCGCAGCGCTACGAATATCTTGACTCGTACGCGTTGTACATACGTACGACCGTCGACTCTCGCTTTTTCAGACGGTCCCTGAACCATATCGTAAATAACGATACAGATATCGACGTTTTCACGCCTTCCTGGCCTCGTATTGTATCTGAGCCTGTTAACGTCTTGTCATTCCGCCACCAGCTGTTGTTACAGGCGATGATTGACAAGTAATGTGAGACATCTACATTTAGATGGTGTTTCAGCTGACCCACTTCCTGGTGTTGAGAGCAGCACGTGACATTACCAGCAGGTGGGGGTCAATTTCGTTTCCCTTGCAGTACAACAACAAAACAGCATTCCTACTTTTCATCTCACCTTCCGCTTTTGGCATTTAAAAAGTCTCTGAGCGGAATGTAAATAGTAAGTGGAAATACCAAGGATCACTGCAACGATGGACTTTACAAAGACACGTTCAGTCGAACTGGCGACGTGGTCTTCAGATGTTCGTGTATCAAGTGTTCAGACATGTCGACCGTATGTCATGTCTATATAATTATACTGTGGCGAGGTGAAAGTCAGGGTCCTACATTAACAGCATTTCTCGCGAGCGAATTAAAGGCGGAGATCACATAACACCACCATTAACTCCAGCGAGATACAGACGAGGGTCTCACATCAATGCTCTTTCTCTCTAGAGAGGTGAAGTCAAGGGTAGTATTATCAACACTATATCTGTGTGGAGGTGAAGACCTGGGTCCCATATCAATTTTTAATGTTATTTCTCTCTAGAGAGGTGAAGTCAAGGGTAGTATATCAGCACTATATCTGTGTGGAGGTGAAGACCTGGGTCCCATATCAATGGTCTTTCACTCTGGTGAGGTGAAGTCAAGGGTTGAAGTCAAGGGTAGTATATCAACACTATATCTGTGGGGAGGTGAAAACTAGGGTCCCATATCAACGCTATTTCTCTCTAGGGAGGTGAAGTCAAGGGTAGTATTATCAACACTCTATCTCTGTGGAGGTGAAGACTAGGGTCCCATATCAATGGTGTTTCACTCTGGTGAGGTGAAGTCAAGGGCAGTATATCAACACTCTATCTCTGTGGAGGTGAAGACTAGGGTCCCATATCAATGCTATTTCACTCTAGAGAGGTGAAGTCAAGGGCAGTATATCAACACTCTATCTCTGTGAAGGTGAAGACTAGGGTCCCATATCAATGGTGTTTCACTCTGGTGAGGTGAAGTCAAGGGCAGTATCAACACTCTATCTTTGTGGAGGTGAAGACTAGGGTCCCATATCAATGGTGTTTCACTCTGGTGAGGTGAAGTCAAGGGCAGTATATCAACACTCTCTCTGTGGAGGTGAAGACTTGGGTCCCATATCAATGCTATTTCTCTCTAGAGAGGTGAAGTCAAGGGCAGTATATCAACACTATATCTGTGTGGAGGTGAAAACTAGGGTCCCATATCAATGCTACTCTAGAGGTGAAGTCAAGGGCAGTCAGCACTATATCTGTGGGGAGGTGAAGACTAGGGTCCCATATCAATGCTATTTCTCTCTAGAGAGGTGAAGTCAAGGGCAGTATATCAACACTCTATCTCTGTGGAGGTGAAGACTAGGGTCCCATATCAATGGTGTTTCACTCTGGTGAAGTATATCAACACTGGTGAGTGAAGTCAAGGGCAGTATATCCACTCTATCTTTGTGGAGGTGAAGTCAAGGGTAGTATATCAGCACTATGTCTGTGTGGAGGTGAAGACTAGGGTACTATATCAATGCAATTTCACTCTAGAGAGGTGAAGTCAAGGGCAGTATATCAACACTATATCTGTGGGAGGTGAAGACTAGGGTCCCATATCAATGCTATTTCTCTCTAGAGAGGTGAAGTCAAGGGCAGTATATCAACACTATATCTGTGTGGAGGTGAAGACTAGGGTCCCATATCAATGCTATTTCACTCTAGAGAGGTGAAGTCAAGGGCAGTATATCAACACTATATCTGGATGGAGAGGTGAAGACTAGGATCCCATATCAATGCTATTTCTCTCTGGTGAGTTGAAGGCCGAGGTCCTGTGTCGACGCTTATCTCAAGCAATGTGACTTAGGTCTAAGACTAGGCCCCGTGTCAACAATATATACTCTCCCCAAAACGAAACGCATCATGAAAATAGTAATTTCATGTAGCAATGAATTAAAACGTGATTCATTTTACAAAAGGTTTTGCTTTGTTTATGAGTCCTATGGTGTTTATGTTTTGAAACATGACAACAAAACGCACCATCCGTAAAATACCCGTATTTAACAGCATGATTTTCAATTTCGGCGTGTAGTGTCACAGAATACTATGCATGTGAAAGTTGGGGATCAGATAGTCTCAATGATGGGTAAAAAAGGTTGATCGCTGTCTGTCGATTATTCACTGTATTTGGAATATTATTGACAAACGCAAAATGCCACGTCTAAGTGAAGCCAACCGTCATATCGCCATCGGTTTGCTTGAAGCTGGCCAGTCTCAACGTGCAGTTGCCCGAAGCATGAATGTTCACCAAAGCACCATTTCACGGCTCTGGGAGAGATATCGCCGGCAGAATGCGGTAGCAGATGCCCCTCGTAGTGGGCGACCTCGAGCGACCACTGCGGCGCAGGATCGCTACATCCGGGTACATCACCTGCGTCATCGAACAGCTACGGCGACCAGTACCGCTCGACAAATACCCGGATTGAGGAGGCTTTCTGCACAGACCGTCAGGAACAGTTCGAGAGAGGCTGGTTTACGTGCCAGAAGACCCTATTTTGGCCCTGTGCTGCGACAACAACATCGTCGACATCGAGTTCAGTGGTGCACCAACGTTCAGGCCTGGAACCTACCGAATTGGCGTAGAATCTGGTTCAGTGATGAATCACGATTTCTATTGCGGGTGTACAGACGTCGACGTGAACGTTTCGCCGACGCTTGCGTTCCCCAGGTGGACAGATTCGGCCGGGGAAGTGTTATGATGTGGGGAGCGATCACCTACCGTAAGAGAGGTGATTTGGTGATGATCCAGGGCAACCTGACAGCTCAACGGTACTGTGACGAAATCCTACGCCCACACCTCCTTCCAATCATTGATCGCCAGAGGGAGTTGTTTCAACAGGACAATGCCAGGCCCAACACAGCACGTCACACTAGAGACTTCCTCCAGAACCACAACATCAATGTGCTCCCCTGGCCCTCAAGATCACCGGACTTAAACCCGATCGAACATCTGTGGGATGCCCTGGACAGACGGGTGCGACGCCGTAACCCTCAGCCCCAGACACTTCAGCAACTCGCACAGGCACTACAGGCAGAGTGGGCTGCGATTGGGCAACACGAGATTCTGAGACTTATTCGTTCGATGCCGAGGCGATGCCGTGCAGTTCTGGATGCCCACGGTGGTCACACGAGGTATTGACTTCAGCGCCACCACACGTCTCCATGTGGCACTCAAACTGACTTTCCTCGAGTTGGTGCCAAAGACGGATAAGTCTGCATTCCCAGTGTGCAATTTCGTTATATTTCATTGACGCATAAAGCCTACAAGATGTTTCAAAATAAACATAAAAATACAGTTGAAATTCCTATATGCGTTTCTTTTTTGGGAGAGTATATAACCCTACTCAGGTGAAAACTAGTTTCAATTTTTACAATATTTCTCCCTTGCTAGACTAAGACTTGGGTCCACTATTTCTCTCTAACGAAATGAAGAAAAGGGTCCAGTATTTACACCAATTCTCTCCGGCGAGGTAAAGACTGCACCATACCAACACTATTTTGATATTAGGAAATGAAGACTTCGGTGAGCACCATCCTATCTCAGTGAAGGCCAGAGTCGTACAGCAACACCATTTTACAGCAAAAAAATGCAGTATTTGCAGTAACTAAGATTTATATTCATAATGATTGACATGAATATGCATTTGCGTTTATGGTGATATAAGCCTGTGTGCACTCTTCGTGTAAATCCGCGCGGAAGAAAGAAACAATTTGCATAACTACACGGTTTTTTTGCGTGTACATTTCCATAAACATTGAATTTAATTTGTGATTACCTCTTGTACAGGCTGTGCATTCTGTGTTTACGGAACGATTAGTCCGTGTTAGCAAAAATGGAACAAGATGTTTGTGTGTTTGCATTTGTTATGAATGAACTCATTTCAAAACACATTCATGCGATCCTTTTTGTCAATTTCTTTGAAAATTCATTTTGCGTTTGGTTCAAGCTAAAAAGCCCGGAATAGGCCGGGATTAAAAGAATAATGATAGATCATTTTGCACGTTCATTGTAGTGGTCTGTGTGTACTGTGTCCTCTGAAAGCCTTACTGGGGTAACTGTCTGTCTGTCTGTCTATCCCTACCTCTATCTATTCATCCATCTATCTTTCTTACGTCCATACATTCACCCAATCATCCATCCATCCACTCATCCATCCTTTCATCCATCTACCTTTCTATCTATCCATCCATCCATGCCCACATACGTATACCCCATCATTGATCTATCTCTCCCCCAATCTCTAAATCTCTCTATCCATCCTTCTATTCATCCATCCATCCTTATAATCTGTTATCTACCTCGCGCTTTACAATGCCGTTATATAAGTTGTAATTATCTTTCAGTGTGTCAAGGTGCGATTATCATGAGATGATGCGACAAATCAGCATCTGCTCTGATGAGGATGTGTCCTACATGGCACTGATCCCCGCAGATGACGCGCATCTGCTGTGACGACCATCCAGTGTTTATATTTTGATTGTATTCATCCCGTGGCAATGTTGCCGTAATTACAGGCCCAGCGCTGCCACCAAAAGTAGCTAGTGTTTAATGATGAGAGTTATTGTCGCACATGTTGCTGGTGAGCTGCTGATCACCCCGTCAGGCAGGCAGGCCGTCAGTGAGTCTCATGCCAGCCTATGCTGCTGCTTCACTCGCTCAGCCTACCAGATATTGACGATAATGCTGAGTTGTACGTATCCACTACTCTGTAGTGACAACTGACAGAGCCCGGGCGATGCCGAGTCATAAAGTCGGGATCTGTAGCGGACATACCTCCACCACTGAAACTTGTCACAGAGAGACGGTCAATGTCCAACAGTGATATCCAGAGGGCCTGTCAAGAAGAGATGCAGAGGAACAGGGAGGATGGAATATACGGAAATGGGGATAATTGAGAGGGGGCTCTGACAGTCTCTTGAGAGGTACATGACCTGATTAGGAGAGTGACGTTGCAGAAGCGGCTCGGGATGAGATACGGGTGTTTCGCGACTTCACCTGGAGTAATTGTTTGTGTTCGCCATGGTAAGGTTTACCCGGGCACCTGCTGACATGGCTTAATGAACTCAGTCCCGTTACGGGGTATTCTAACAAGCGACAACATTGCTTCTGAAAGTACTAAACGGAATGGGTCCAAGAAGGAAACTTAAAATGACTAGATGATACGTCACCGTGGTCAGTTTTGATACGATGGACAAGGCTTATGTAATTTACCTGACAACCTGTCACACGCTTATCTGATATATGTTTGTTTTTGTTGACAACGCAACGGTGTGACGGCATCCCCCGAGATCCAGGTGTGTGTGTGAGGATCGGTGTGGGGGCGTGGCGGGTATCAGCCCGGGAGTGTGGCAGCATGAGCCGGCCGGGGAGGAGGGGGTGCTGTGCTCTCCTTCACCTACGAGAAGACAACGCCCGTTTTATCCTACTGTTCGTAGTGATGGCTATTTACATGGTGGCGGGTGCCGGGATATTTATGTTGTTGGAGGCAGAAAACGAAGCCACGGAGAGGAAGGATTACCAGGATGCTGTGGATACCTTTTTGAGCCAGTACCCGGAAGTAAACCGGTCCCAGCTCCAGGCTCTTCTAGACCTACACGGTCGGGCGGAGACAGCTGGTATAGTGGGGGACAAGCGGCCACGTTGGGACTTCCCCGGAGCGTTCTACTTCGTTGGCACCGTCGTCTCAACCATAGGTGAGTCTTTAAAGTTAAATAACATTGACTTACATATTATATGTCTCACACACATCCAATGATGGATTTTTATAGACGGTGGGAGAGAGGAGGGGGGTAGGGGTGAGTTCGGAGTGCATCTGTTGTAAGAGACCCTTATGTTAACAGCATATCTAGGGCAATTAGGGACCCCAATCATGATGGAACCTCCATCAATATCACATTCCCCACCCCATCCCGACACAATCCCCCCATGGACTCCCACCACCATCCTTACCCCCATCAACACCCCATCCCCACCCCAGGTCAATCGTTTATCCGAATAGTGTATCCGCGTTATCGCCTCTGAATGCTTCCCAAGTCCCATCCATTCCCCATTTCTAAACAACTCCCCCATCCAAACCCCCATCAACACCCCATCCCCACCCCAGGTCAATCGTTTATCCGAATAGTGGATGCGCGTTATCGCCTCTGAATGCTTCCCAAGTCCCATCCATTTCCTCATTTCTAAACAACTCCCCATCCAAACCCCCATCAACACCCCATCCCACCCCAGGTCAATCGTTTATCCGAATAGTATCCGCGAATCCATTGGATTTCTAAACAACTCCCCATTATCGCCTCTGAATGCCCACCCAAAGTCTATCCATCCCATTCGCCCCATTTCTAAAGTCCATCCATTCCCCATTTCTAAACAACTCCCCATCCAAACCCCCATCAACACCCCATCCCCACCCCAGGTCAATCGTTTATCCGAATAGTGGATGCGCGTTATCGCCTCTGAATGCTTCCCAAGTCCCATCCATTCCCCATTTCTAAACAACTCCCCATCCAAACCCCCATCAACACCCCATCCCACCCCAGGTCAATCGTTTATCCGAATAGTGGATGCGCGTTATCGCCTCTGAATGCTTCCCAAGTCCCATCCATTCCCCATTTCTAAACAACTCCCCCATCCAAACCCCCATCAACACCCCATCCCCACCCCAGGTCAATCGTTTATCCGAATAGTGGATGCGCGTTATCGCCTCTGAATGCTTCCCAAGTCCCATCCATTCCCCATTTCTAAACAACTCCCCCATCCAAACCCCCATCAACACCCCATCCCCACCCCAGGTCAATCGTTTATCCGAATAGTGGATGCGCGTTATCGCCTCTGAATGCTTCCCAAGTCCCATCCATTCCCATTTCTAAACAACTCCCCATCCAAACCCCCATCAACACCCCATCCCACCCCAGGTCAATCGTTTATCCGAATAGTGGATGCGCGTTATCGCCTCTGAATGCTTCCCAAGTCCCATCCATTCCCCATTTCTAAACAACTCCCCATCAAACCCCCATCAACACCCCATCCCACCCAGGTCAATCGTTTATCCGAATAGTGTATCCGCGTTATCGCCTCTGAATGCTTCCCCAAGTCCCATCCATTCCCCGTTATTTCTAAACAACTCCCCATCCAAACTCCCCATCCTTACCCCATCAACACCCCATCCCCACCCCAGGTCAATCGTTTATCCGAATAGTAGATGCGCGTTATCGCCTCTGAATGCTTCCCAAGTCCCATCCATTCCCCATTTCTAAACAACTCCCCCATCCAAACCCCCATCAACACCCCATCCCCACCCCAGGTCAATCGTTTATCCGAATCGTGGATCCTCGTTATCGCCTCTGAATGCTTCCATGGGTGACCCTCAATTACTGTGATAATATAGATACACTATTTGTCTCACCGCGGAGGTGGTGTTACTGAAGACAATGTATCTCCATCCCAGCTGCTGCATCTACTCGCATAAAGACACCTGTCACAACAGCGTCATTGTCCTCCTTCCCATCTACAACAGATACTGGAGATTGTGTATCGATAGTTGACATACATGTTCTCACATATAACCAACATTTTAAACTGGAGGTTGTGTATAGATAGTTGACTTGAAACCGTTATAAACGGGGAACATTTGCCATTGACATGAACTTATTACAAATGAAAACATTTTACATTCATATACTCTAACAGGGAATAGTTAGATTTGCCATTTACACTTATCACAAATACATGTGTATATATTTGCCATTGATATTCTGTTATAACTAACATGTTTTACTAATATACATACTTACACTTTAACATTATACTATAACAAATACCAAAATCCCAGTAGCGTTTCAAGCATTTTACATACCCCGTCCTACCACTATCCAACTTGTACAGGAGACTTCTCACATACGCTACCCCACAACTATCCAACTGGTAGAAGAGACTACCTACATACCCCTCACCGCCACTATCCAACTTATGCAAGAGACTCCGTACATTCCCCACCCTTCCATTGTCCAACTTGTACAAAAGACTAACTACATGCCCTGTCTACCACTATCCAACTTGTACAAGAGACTCCGTACATATCCTGCCCCACCGCTATCCAACTTGTACAAGAGATTCCGTACATTCCCCACCCTTCCATTGTCCAACTTGTACAAGAGACTACCTACATGCCATGTCCACCACTATCCAACTTCTCCAAGCGACTCCGTACATTCCTCACCCTACCATTGTCCAACTTGTACAAGAAACTACCTACATACCCTGTCTACCACTATCCAACTTGTACAAGAGACTCGTACATTCCCGCTCTACCACTATCCAACTGGTACAAGATACTCCGTACATTCCCCGTTCTACCACTATCCAATTTGTACAAGATACTCCGTACATTCCCCGTTCTACCACTATCCAACTTGTACAAGAGACTCGTACATTCCCCGTTCTACCACTATGCAACTTGTACAAGAGACACCTGCAATAAATACGTTCAGGAAATGAAGACGCTGATCATTGGTCCCAAGTGGTCACTTCAGTACAAGCCATAACAGTCAGATGTTGTCTATAAGTAATCCCGCGTCCCCTCAGACCGTGTGTTGCCATGGCAACATATTAACGTTCTTCCCGTGTTTAAACAATTGGATTGTACCTCGTATTTGTAGTTCATTAATAACTATACAAATCTGGCACAATAAAAGCTACCAATTCTCAGTAAATTCAGTAGGTATCCCCTTAGTGATGCATCAGGCGGAACGTCAAGGGATTGGTGGATATTGATGTATTGCGTTTGCTCTTTTAGGAGTACAAGTGTGTGATCTAATAGCAGCAAATAGCCCTGCTTGTTTATATTCTATTTGCTTCATAAGACTTGCAAATGATATGCCGAATCCTTATCATAATGGCGCGGTCGACTGATGGCAGTTAGCATACCATTTCAGAGGCTTCATCCCCTTATCTTCTGCTTTCCTTACACAAAACATTCAACGTTGAAGCTCCTCGCGGACATTAGATCGGTGCGTGGTAATGGTGACCTTGAGTTGCTGCGGCAGTACCACGCCATTATGTGTTTTAATAGATTATTGAAGGATATCATATCGGATGGATCAGCTATTTTTACAATCGATATAAAGTCAGTTGGAGTATTTAATAGTGTTGTGTGCAATCCAGCATCGTCAGTAGTACTGTGATACAGCTGTAATATTGCTGACAACAGCACTGCCATGATACAGCTGCTGTAATATTGCTGATAACATCACCGCCGTAATGCAGCTGTAATATTGCTGATAACAGCACCGCCGTGATACAGCTGTGATATTGCTGATAACATCACCCCCCGTGATACAGCTGTGATATTGCGGACAACAGAACTGCGGTGATACTTCTGTTATATTGCTGATGACAGCACCGCCGTGATACAGCTGTAATATTGCTGAAACAGTACTGCCGTGATACAGCTGTAATATTGCGACAACAGTACTGCCGTGATACAGCTGTAATATTGCTGATAGCAGCACTGCGGTGATACAGCTGTTATATTGCTGACAATAGTACTGCCGTGATACACCTGTAATATTGCTGATAACAGCCCCGCAGTCATACAGCTGTAATATTGCTGATAACAGCACTGCGGTGATACAGCTGTAATATACCTGAAAACAGCCACGCCGTTATACAGCTGTAATATTGCTGACAACAGCACTATGTTGGGACAGTTCCACTATTGCTCGTTCACCCATCATTAAAAGATGCATTAGCATTTTCTGTACTTCTGTGAAAAAAGTACATGTCATAATATGTAATTATTACCGAAATGCATCCGGTGTTGTCAGATCATGGCAACAGTGTCAATATTTGTCACCAGCAGCAGAACGCCCCTTCATCAATTACACAGAACATAAACACCACGCTAACCATAACACACCTCCTCATATACAAATATTTATGACGCTCTTGAGCAGCTATAAATTATGTCATCACAAATAACACAGGAACTGACTGTGATTCTGTTTGAACTAACCAAACCCTTAATTGTGATCTGTAACGAATGACCGCCAGTAGTGGTGTTTTATCAGTGAAACAGAACCAGATTAGGATCGTTGACCTCTGCCATTAGAAACGCCGTTCGATGGTAACGCAGTGCGTCATGCTATATTTGCCGAATCTGACCTCTAACATGTTCCAGCACCAATGGAGTACTGTAAACAGTCAACAGTCACGATAGCGGTGTACAAGTTCAAATATCGTGTAAAATGTTGACTTGAATAAGTACAATTTGGTTCTACACAAGAACATGACTGACGTGACCTTGATCTGACGTGACCTTGTTTGGAGAAACTTGTAGGTGTGAGTGGAGACGTGTTTGCTTAGAGACCATCTTCATTCGAAGATTGTTGTTTGTTTTCGGATGATGAAAGAAATACTCTTTTGATTATTCTATTATTTGAAATTATCTTGTTCCATGGGGATATGTTACAAATCTGTTCTGGCACAAGAAGTCTTCGGCAATATGCCAGATGCGAAGGAATGGCTGCTGAGGTCTTCATGTCCTCGAGTAATATCTCTGTAATCATTGCGAATTAACATTCGTGAAACACTGAGACTGTACAGAGGATGTAGCTTTGTTTCTTTGGTGGTTTGTGAATAGGTCATACCGATTGTGGACATGAGATGGCCAATTTTGGTTTAATATCTGACGACGTCG